ATTAATAACTTCCTTGGGCCCAATATAAGGGGCCCTCTATCTTGGCCCCTTATATTGGTGTTTGTTGATTCCATGCTATTCCCCATTTTGGGATGTTGGAAGGAATAGTGTCACAACTTTTAAACTTTATTTACAACTTTACTCATTTTCTTTCCTGTGTGCTTTTACTATTTTTTGTATGTGTATTTACACTTAAATCAAAATGCACACAAGTACTCTGTTTAAATATAAAATAACTTCTAATGGCATTAATTGCAATGTATTGTATTTAGGGACATTATAGTAAATGGGGCTTATTGAATCCTAATGCATGCCACACATGTTAGATTTTCATTGATTAATGAAAACATTTTCTTCTGCCTTGATCTAAAATCTCAATTAAATATGCTAAAGTTAGTGAATGTAATAAAAAAAAAAAACTGTTCAGAAGGTATGAATATCAACAACAAACTTACATGAAGAAAGGTTGTTAATGCCTTACGCAATAATAAATACTGAATGTTGCTCGAAAAATATTTGCGTTACATACTGTTAGGAACTGATGGTAGAAGATCATCATCAGATCCATATCACCATATGTTACCAGCAGTAGCTTGCGCACATAACAATCTCGCCTCCTAGCTGATTGTTAACACCTTCTGCGGAGACCCGCAGTTTACAGTGTGAGTGTGACCGTGTAATTATGGACGCCATTTCCACTGTTAGCCGAATTTAATCTTTTACAGCCCGCCGCGGCCCGCTGTAAAAAAAAAAAAAGCAACACAAACCTCACAGTTTACCTGGGTGACTGAGATTTAGTATTCTGCTCAGCTTGCAGTTTATGCAGCTAATACCTGGAGAATTAGGGATGTGCTGAATGCACCCACACGTATTAAAGAAGCGAGGCAACTGATGCTATTTTCTGCTTGAGACACAGCGACCTGCAAACAGGTTAAATGTAGTGTGGAGTTATCGCTAGATACAAGCTTTGAGTCAACCTTCAACTCTATTCAGCATCAAAGATGAGCAGAGAGTGTCACACACTCTTCAAATGTGAATAAAAGCTCCATAATGCAGAGGATGTGCTGTTTTTCAAGGCGGGGGTTTAAAGGTCTGCTTCAATTTGCTGACAAGCATCATTGGCACCTGTAAGAGACATGAACCCTGTTTTGCTCTCATTTACAACTGTGTGGCTGCATTAAGCCTCAAGGTATCTGAGGTTTGCAATAAATCTTTTCCCACTGATGTTGTCAAGCTGACAGTACAATCCGTCAGCACTTCAGACGGGAAGCTGTTTATCATTCTTATCACTATCAGTATCTACAAGTGGTACACAGAGGAAAGGAACCTTGAGCACCTACTGTGAACATAGTTATGGGTGGAGGAAAAATATTCTAGTGTAATAAAACCCTCATTTTCGATGGTCGTTTAGCTTTGTGGATCGCTACGTCTAAATTACTCCTAGTTTTTTTTTTTTTTTTTTTTTTTTTTTTTTGTAATTTAAACGATTCATTGCTGTCAGCTACTTTATGCCCTGTATTTTGTTGAACAATGCAGGCCATTGAAAACCTTCCTGTGGCACACCAAAACAAAAAAAAGTATACTTTGGTCCTACTTTGGATCAATGTTGTAGTTTATAGGCACAGAGATTAGATCATCGTCACGCAGTCATCATATATCACATCATCATATATAATGCAGCCAGGTGAAAAAATATAACAACTTAAACCTTTACAAATTGTACCATTTTATAGGCACCACGTTCATATTATTTTGTGGTACTTTTCATGATAGACCAACACAACGTAGCACATAAATGGAAGAGAATTGCGACTCTTATAACTTTTGTCCTTTTTTTTTCTTTTGCCAGTAAGAACCTGAATATTGTGGCTCTGAGTGTCTATTTAGGTCCATGTTCTCTGACAGTGGAAGAATTTGCTGTGATCAAATGAGACCAAAGTGAAACTTTTTGCTCTCTGTGATGAAAATCTAATGCTGCGCGTCACCATGAAAAGACCATAGTTCAATTGAACGTAGTTGTGACAGCATCATGCTGTGAGGATTGTTCTCTTCTGGTCACAGTTGATGAAAGAACAGTTCTGGATGAGGCATTTTGTAACTCAAACCCAAAAAGGTTTGAATGAGGCCTTTAATCAGTGTCTTGTTTTTGACACTGACTTTCTTAACTTCAGCTTTGACTTCTTTACTTTTAAAATATCAAGTTTACAGCTACAGTAGAGGTCTGCTGGATTAGACCGTAAAGTACATCTGAGCATCTTTACTAACCTGTCATTTGCTATTTCAGCTACTAGAAAACAGATTTTCTTTGCAGTAAGCCACAATTTTTCTCACAACTAACGAACGTATACTACTAGCCAAGTGTTAAATACAGAGAATGAGAATAAATAACATACACAACTGAGTGAATAATCAAGAAATATGAACATTATGTGTCGTCACTGCTGGCAAGCAAGAGGAGTGAAATCTGCTCTGAGCTTGAACCTCTAGATGGTGATTCCATGGAGAATCCTACAAAGAGTCAGTGAAGATTTGAAGATGAAAACATCATCACACTCTAACACATCTTCCTGCAATCTTACTGTAACATGTAAGGCAGATTAAAGCGAAATAGACAATAATTACCCTTTCTGAATGCTCCCTCCTAACCACATGGCTCCTGCCAGTGGAGGATCTGTAAGCTTAATTCATTAGAGACTATTTTTATTATAGAACAGCAGGATACCACAGTACTGCTCACATCATCTGCATGAGGCATATGGGCAATAATTGCATCAGGAACTTAAATTGTTTAAGTGTGTGTATATATATGTGCTTTAGCATTTCTTACCCTGTAAGGCCCATCTTTCCAACAAATACTACATTGTGAGGACCCTCTATTCCTTAGGCAACCTAAAGCCCATTTTCCACAGGAAGAAGTGCTGTTTTTTGGGTTAGGGTTAGGTTTAGGACCAAGGCACGAGTTGAGCTTAGGTTAGGTTTAGGGTTAAGCAATGATTATGTAGAGGGTCACGGTTTGGCAATATAAAACCCTGACACTCTACATAATAGGAAGTCAATGCAACGTCCTCATGAAGATAGAAAGACACAATGTGTGAATGTGTGTGTGCAGTGAAGAATTCAATTATTCCAAAAGATAGTGATGCAGAAGGATGTCTTGCTCCCTAACACAGCTGGGCTCTTGGTGCCAGCAATATAATTCTGTTGAACTTGACAGGTGACAGGTGTGAAAGCATGTGATCAGTGTGTTTATACAATATGCAGAAGTGTTTCCTTTAATTAGTCATTTAAAGTAAAATAAAATCACTTCACTACTTGTTGCACACATGTCTTTGTGTAGAATTTAATTGGCAGATTTGGAATGGTGATTCCTCAAATTATAACATCTCCTTTGGCGTTCTGCCTTTAGGCTCGCGCTGATGAGCCAAAATATTACGACACATTCTGCTCAATATGCCGCGAGCACTTTATCTGCTGCCAACACATATCAAACTGGTTGTGATGGAGTCCAGAACATCTCTGAAGGTGACCTTCAGCATTCAGGGAATTAGCTGTGCGGTAGTAGATATTTTAAGTCATGGAAGTTTGCAGGTGGGGTCGCTGAGGACCAAACATGCTTGACAACATCTAGAACAATCCTTTCACTAGTTCATGTCTCATCTCTGTACAGTTTACTGTCAGTGGGTACACACAGATAGATGAACTTATTTTAAAGAGTCTTTGACACAGTCCAGCCTTATTGATTTGGACGTTGATACGGTCTCTTCTGCCTGTTTCTTACATCTAGCAACAGTTCTCCTGGCCTTAAAATTTATTATTTTATCTCAAAATGATTCACTGTATTAGGGCTATTGTTACATGAGTTATATGGTGCAACAGTCACACCCTCTCAGGTGCATTCAAAGCTGCAGACACTCACATCTTTGCCTATTACTGTTTGTGTTATAGTATCAGCTCATTCAGATTGGATGGATTGAACTCTGATTTGTCCATTTTAATACATGGATATGCTGTGATCTAAACCTATTGTAGCCCTGGTTAGCCTCTAATTAGTTTCTATGAAAGTTTACCACAGCAACTTCCTTCACATGTTTATCATATTACCTACATGTCTTGTAGTATAATATAAATGGGACTTGTTATTACTTTCTTTCAACCATGGCTTTCTCATTGACGCACCTTGACAAATGTTAACTTGTCAAACACTTGATGTTTTTTACTGTTCCTTAGTCTTCATGAAGCGGTTTCTTCACTAATGTTCTCTTACATACATCAGAGACCTTTACACTGAGATTAAATTAAGTAAAGTGACATAATCCGCTTTGGCTTATTGGAGTAAAAGGAGGCAAAAATAAAAAAATACACCTCACTTTCAAATGTGTATTTTCGTATATTTACAAAAACACAACCAAAACAGAAAACTATGCATCATTTCTACTACATCATATTCACTCAATACAAAAATCCCCATTAAAATAAAATTGTCATAACATGAGAAAATGTGAAAAAGTTTCAGTGGTAAAGATACTTTTGCAAGGCGTTACAATGTATTATCTCATACATTTTTAAGTGGTCCATGAAAAGCATGTATGGGTGTTTGCCTTAAAGGTGCTGACCCAGCCGGCCACTTGGGGATTAACCAAAGCTCTGACCTCCATTCTAATCAGCAGACTTGCTGTTTCCCCAATTACTGTGCTGCTGGTTGACCTTTTGTACAACCACCCTAATCTCCCTCAGGTATTTGGATGGGCTCAAAGAAACATAATATTTACATACCTTGTGCTGTGCGGCTTGGAGATCAGACTGCAATTGTGTAACAATTGTCCAGGACTAAAGGAAGATATCAAATAGCAAGTCAGAAATGATAGTGCTCCTTTGCAGGTAAAGTGTTTCCCATTCAGGTCTCATAGGATTCTGATCAAATAACAAGAAGCCCTCTGCTCCAGTTTGTATTGTTATGTCCAAAGTGATTTATCTCCACTGTTAGGGTGCATCGACTGAACTGTTCAGCTGAGCATAAAAGATTCAAGAATTCAGACTGAGTCTAAGATGCAGCAATGATAATAGCGTGCTGTGCCAGGCTTTATTCTCAATATCACCTGTATCTTAGTCTCTACCAGTCAAATGGACCAACGGGTCCTTTGTTTTCCTACATGAGGGAAAACAAAGGACTTACTATGTCAAAATGTTGTTCTGTAATTGTAAATGCACTGTAAAAAGTTTGATAAAAAAAAACAACTCTGGGAATGTTAATTTGTTTCAAAAGAGTGGGTGTCTAAATGTGACAGCTTGTTAAATTTAACAAAATTAAAGAAATGCTTTGTGACAAATCTGACAATCTTCATCATGTAGACTCGAGAATCTTTATATTTGCTTTAAACAATGAAGTAAAATTGTAAAATTTACAGTAAATTACTGGCAGCGGTGTTGCTGTAGCTACAGTGACTGTAACTCTTTACAGGATCCTAATTGTATTTTTGTGACAGTAATACTGTAATTCCGTTACAATTCTACTGTTATTTTGTCATTTTACTTTGCTTTTATTACAAATTTACTGAAATTTTACTACTATTTTACAGTGATTTAATGCAAATTTACTAGAATTTTGCTAAAATTTTAGTGAGTCTTTCTATTTTTTGTTTTAAATTGGTATTTTGTAATCGAAACCGTGGCATTCTTAGTCTAATGTCACACCTCCCATCTTAGACTAACTTATCATATAACATGCAATACACTGTAGACTCTTTACCACCAGGTTTCAAGTAACTTTAATTTGTATCTGTGGTTTCCACAACATTTTCAACACTTAATATGTTCAGGAGAATAGAAAATATGTGCCAAAGAGAGCCTAAGCAGAATACTGATTAGACAGTGGATTTAAGTGGGATTTATGGCAGGGATGAGCTCTTCATTTATTCCTTGTACTGCCACTGTTCTGTGTGTTGTCAGGCTTTGGGATGGGGCTTTGTCTCTGTCATGATGCGTCTACGTGTACCGCTTTCTTTTTTCGGCTACACTGGCTCTAGAGATCGGGATATGAGAAGATTGATTGACGATGTATCAATGCAACAACCTGTCCACAGATAAAAAAAAATGATAATATATCACTATCAAATTCTGCACATTCCTGATCAGAAGCAGGAAAATGGGCAACAGCTCACATATAGCATTTTGTACATAACCATGCATTTGATAAAGAACAGTGAAGAAAACATTATCTTTATTTACTGGTATTGCAAAATCTGGTTTATTAAAGATATTTTATCTTACTGCTAAAATTCTATCTATAATTGTTAAAAACTAACTTTAAATTATGTTTCTTTAAATGTGTCTTATGTTTAACAAAACTTGGTGCATTCACAATATGTTCATCTTCAAAAACTCAGTGATACATTCACACTGAGTGGAAACTATCAACCAAAATTGGGAACCCTCCCCCCTCAAAAGAACAAATTGCCAAATCATTTCTCAAACATTTAAAATTTCGAAGTAGCCGGTGAATGTCGGAGCAGCTCTGTTTGATGAATATCCATTTTAGTGGCCATAGTGTTTACTGAAAAACACTCAAGAGTGTATCCCTTGAGGCACGTCATTTTAGAGCTCATTTTAGAGCTCATTTTCTGGCTGAGTGTGAATTTGAACTAAGGTAAATCAGGAAGTCGAGATGAGCAGCCCAGTCAAAGTAAAATAAAGGAAAACAGAGTGAAGCACGGAAGATAGTCGTAAAGACGGTTTCTTAGAAACTCCATTAGCCACCAGCTGTTTGCCTGTCTGTCATGCTGCTGCTGTGCAATCTGCACAGAATAACCTTGTTTATCCTACCTCTTCCCGTAACTTTATGACAGCATTCTTAATGATTAAAAAGAGCCTGAGGAACGGCAATGGAGATGCTGAAATGTGTCATCTTGACTGGTTTGTGACTGCATCTTCTCTTACATTTCACATTAATCACGGTTGGTATGATTTTTGCTGCTGTTGTCTGAAGCACAGGTGTTTGAAATCATGTCAGAAAAAGAAACTCAGAAAACATCTTAAACAATCATTTATTTTACGAAATGTGATGTACCATGGCTAAATCATGATACGTGATTATTTTTGTGAGCACACAGGTTACATTGAAGTTGTTTCATATGCTTTGTGCAAGAATTTCAGACTATCTTAGGTTGGAATAAGGTCAGCCTTAGAATGGCTTATTTCTAAACGTGTAACTTTCCATCATGAAATAACACACGGAACATGTTCATATTATTAGTGATTTTTGCCTAAAATCAAACTGTGAAACAACAAGACTGCAGTGGGTGGTAATCTATTGTTTTGGGTAAATCTGAAGTGACAGTAATTATGGTAATTACTCTGCCTTCAAGCAAAAACATGTTCTTCAGCACCGAAACAGAAGCTATTTTTATATATTTTCTCCTTTTAGTAATTTTTTTTATTTTTTATTTTTTTAAGTGGACGTGAATGTTAGCTTAGGATGAGGAATTACTTCAAAGCCAACGCAGTCACCTAGGTTTTGTTAGGAACATTGTTCACCAAATGGCTTGATGGATTGAACTTGACTGGGCTGAAGTATAATTTGGAGCAATTTGAAATCCATGTAACTGAATTTCAGTCTTTCTGTACGGTTGGACTGATTTGGTCACATGTTTTTGTTTAAAAATTAGATTTGTTTATTTTGTTAAATGCTTTTGGATGACATTTATTATGTGGGCACAGTGCCCATGTAAATCAGTAGGTACTGTACACAGTTGGTGTTAAAATATGTTGCAGCACAAAAATGTCAACATTAGTAGCTAAGACAGCTGAATTAGAATGATCAAACCATAAAACTACTCTTTATCTTTGTTTCTGTTTAGTACCAGTAATTGAGATCTACGTGCCAAAAGAGTAGAGGTTTTAAAGTAATTTATTTGTCAAACTTCGAAATGTGATTTATAGTATCCGCTTTGGTATACTGCACGATAGATTTGTAAAAGCTCTATGATGGGTATCATTTATCCTTATTGGAGGGACATTTTATGCCAGCAACACACGTTGAATGTTTAGTCAGCTTTGCTAAACAAATGAACATGTTTTGACCTTACAATCCTGAAATGTTTTCTCTAAATACACCTCTGCTGCAGACAGTCATTTTTTCCCCTCATAAAGCATTCGGCATGTCTATGTGTTCATTTGGAAAAGTTTGCTATTAAATTTCTCTGTGAGAGCAATAAAAGGTTTTTGTTGAAAAATATTTTCCATGAAGAGCATATATGTAAGGGCATGACTACACATCATAAAGGCTCCGGCACTACCGGGTCTTTTGTAAAGGTCAAGTCAAGTCAAGCTGCGGGGATCATTTGTCTTTCTATCAAGCCCAGTAGAAATTCTCAAAGGCAATTTTCACACCACATTTCTTCACAATTTTCTTCCGGATGTTTTTAGTTGCCGCCAGCTGAATTATGACTCAGGACGTGATTGTGAGTAGAGCCCATAAATTAACTCATAAAATGTAAGACAGAAGTTGGAGGGTTGCAAGTTTTATTGCAGGTTCCCCCAACTCACACGTGCCCTTCGGCAAGACACTTAACTCCAAGTAGCCTGCTAATCTGTGTGTTGATACAGAAATGAGTGTGGCTGTGTGAGAGATGTTATATAGGTTCAGTCTGTCCGATTACAGGTTTACATATAGTCTTCATCAGGATGAATATAATATTAATTTATATATTTTGGTTGCTTTGCTAACAAGGTGGAATGATTATCAGGAATTTCAGTGATCAAAAATAATTTTGAGAAGTTTGTATGTATTGTGAATTTTCTCACCAATACCTATAAAAACTTAAAGTTCTAAATGCACTCGTGTTAAAATGTGAATGGATGTTATTTGGTACATTAAACTGAAGGCAGTAAGTATTTTTTGTCATCAACAAGTCTTGGCATAATTCTGACTGGATGCTTTATTTGACCAGAAGTAAGAGAGCATATTTAAATTGGTTGGTTTTCTGGAACAAAAGTCATACATTTTTAGACCTCATCTGCAAGAAAAACAAAAATCTGTGCTTTTTTTTTCTTTAATATCAAGTGATGAGTGCATAGGAAAAAAAAAATCCACACAGTTTTCATAAACCATTACTCGCAGCTTTTAAAAATTGTGAGGTTAAAAAAAAGAAGGATTTCTGAACAGGATGGAGGTGGAAGAGAGGAGCCACCTGAAAGCACCACAGAAGAAAATAAGAGACTCCTTATGCTGTCTGTGCCTTCACTTAGCAGAACTCTCACGTCTCTCCCAAAGCACAGAACAGAACGGGGGATAAGAGGGAGAAAGTCTTCAGACATTGAGGAGTTCTCTTTCTTTCCTTTTCCTTTTTTTTGCTGATGTTTTGCTATGATGGATTGTGCAGACTGAGTGCCATGATGTGCGCGTCTCTGGGAGCGCTTGTGTTGTGACCAGTAGGGTCGCTCATCGATTCCAAGCCATCTCTACTAAAGCACTAATAAGACACTTGGCATTTTCCCTGGTGTGATATTACTCCCTTTGTGGGCTTCCTCTACTCCTGCCAGTTATTGGAGAGAGTGGAAAAGTGTGTGTTTTTTATGTCTGTTGAAGTTTTGTTGTTTGTGTTTGTGGTCATACCCACTTCCCCATGCATATGTGCTTGTGTGTGTGCGTGGTGGCATTTAAGTCTGTTACGTTCTGTTCAAGTGCAAAGCACAGATGCACACAGATTTGCGTGCGTGTCTGTACATACATATGTGCATATGCCATGAAATAACAGATTACATTATGTGAATTTAGATTAGTGGCAACATTACGCAAATCCTGATAGTAGGAGGAAGAAAGTCCACAGTGGGTAGAGGGATCAGATGGAAATGTCACCTTGGAAGCCACTCAAGACTCGCTGAGGCCTGATTGCCCAAGTGAGATCCGGAATGTCATCTGATTTGGAAGCAGAATCATCAGTGAACATGGTCTGATCCTTTCCTAAGGATAGAGATTAGTTGCAGTGTTGGAGATGAGATCAGCATCGCCAGATGGAGCATTTACTCCAGCAAGAACTTTGAGAAAGCCAAGTCAGGCTAACATGGAAGCTTGCAGGACTGTGTGTTTATTTGCTGCCAAATGTTTAGAAGCGTCATTATAATTAACAACATGAATAAATTGGGATGCGTGCTTCATTTATTTTACTGCAAGAATGGGCTAGCATGAGATTCTCATGGCATGGTAACCTTTAGTTGTATTAGTGCTTTCTCCCTCTCACTCTGTCTTCAGCCAGTGGTCATATTTTCCCATGTGGCCCTTTAGGAGAATTACTTGCCTGCCCTGGCATCGTGCTCTATACAGTGAGACAAAAGTATTGACAGACCCAGTCTCAAAGGGCCCCAGGACACAGCTTCTGTGCTCTTCCAAAGTTACCATAACAAAAAGTTATGAAAGCCTAACAGCAAAAAGACCAAAAGATTGAAAGTTTAAGAAATGTAAAATCTCACGGAGAGCATGTTGAAAATAAAGTCTAAGAAAGGAATTACAGCATTAAATAAAGTGAAAGAATACTGGACCAGAAATCAGTTCCCATTCTGTTATTTACTGATTTGACTGAACTTATTGCGCAGGAGTTTGGGACCAGAATTATTATTACAAATGACTTTGTGTTCAGCAACCTCCTTGCCTTCTTGTCACTCTTTCTTCACATCTTAATAAAATGACATTAAGCCTTTGAATGGTGGGACCTTTCTGAGGCTTTCAAACCAGAACGGGTCAAAACCTTGAAATGCCTTGATGCTGATAATTAGCCAGTATCTGCTCTGTGGTGTTACTAAGTTCTGCTTGGTGAAATTTAGACTTTATAAATCTGTCATGTCTCCCACTTAGCATATTAACAGTTTGTCCAGCGGGGCGCACTTCAGTTTGTTTTGTGCACTTAAGCATCTTAACATGGTAGTTGGAAAATTTGAGTGCTGCAATTATGCTTGTAATCACTGAATAACAAAAGAAGAAGTACGTCAGGAAAGTGGAAAGTTATATAGATATTTAAAACACGAGTGTGCTTCAGCTTGTTTTTGTCTGACCGACTGAGCCGTAGTATGTCTGTATTTACCAAACCAACGAGCCACTTGCATGGGCATGGAAGAGATATACCTTAACCTATGAGTGAGGAGTCTCAAGGCCAACAACTTCCAAGCTAATAAATTTGTCTGAGGGAAAAAGGATGAGAAATAAAGGCCTTTAAATGTTCCTATTCCTCTCCACGTCAGAATGAATGGATGTTTCAGCAAGCAGTGCCACAAATTACCCCCAGAGAGAAAAACAGCTCAGCTCAGACAGCTGCAGCGTGGGGGATCCACTCCCTCTGGAGAAGTCATATTCAGACTGATAGGCTTGTGTGGAATTCAGTGAACCTGACTGCACCCTCCACCCACGGGGCTCCGCTCCTTCCACATTGGTGCAATCCAAACTCCTCGGGGGAATATTCCTTCCTCAGCTATCTTCAACATTTTCTTAGTTGTTCCTTTTTAGAGGTCCTGCTGCCAACTCAATTTCAGATGGCTTTTACACTTCAGCTACATGCCTCCTCCGTGCCCACGCTTGTGACTTCCAGTGAATCTCGGGGCAATGCATTCTATTAACCTATTTAGTTTTTTCCTTCCATTTGGTATGTAGAGTCAAACACAGCCTGTATCAGATTCTAAAGTGAAGCTTGAAGCCCCCAAGCTAACTGCCTGCGAGTGTCTCGCTGCCTACAAATCGCCTTTGCTCTTCATGTGTGTCCTGCATATGGGTTCAGTGTTGCCCTCTGCTCCACACTGGGCTTCATTAACTTATAGCAGCAACGATGGAGACGTTGTCGAGACAGAAATATAAAAATAGAGAAACTGAGTAGAAATCTTCACCTTTCACCTTTGAGTTTTTCACCAAGGATAAACTAGTGTGCACTGTTTTACTGTGTGCGTCCTTGAAATGAGAGATGTTAATTCCTCTCTAAAGAGAAGCATTCCAGCAAAAACAAAAGGTCAGCATGATTAATGATTAACATCACTATCAAAGGCTGGAGGCATGATTGTATCCATGTGCCAAGAAAAGGAACCAATGCGAATTAATTCACCAATTCTACCACAAAGAGAGGTCAAATATCCAATCAGAACTCAACCAAAAGCTTATAGATGGCTGCAGAAAGCAGGTGAGAATATTTAACCAGTTTGAATGCATGTATATAGCAAGTACTGAACAGTACCTAGTATAGATGGAAAAATAAATTCAAGTATACCAAGTAGATCTTAGTTTTGCATTTTCTGTTTTTCTGTTTTAGTACTTATTTTACCTTCTCCATCATTGACACTTCCAAATTTGACACATACTTTAGATGAATGAAGTAGATACAAAAAAGATGGGGTCTATTATCTTGACATGTTTTAGATGTAATCTAAATCTGACTCATGATTGGAGAAATATGCTCTGTTCTAGAGGTTATGCTAGTGCAGGATACCCACACCATCTTCCCAGGTCCTGAAGAAATCCATCGCTGTCTAACAGAGAGAGAGGAGAGTTCAGTTTAATTACAAAACATTTATATACTCTCCTATGAAGGCTGTTTTTTCCCCCCTCAGTTTATCTCACATTTACATTTGATTGAAGGTAACAAACGTTAATAGATTTTTTTGTGGGGAAAATGAAATATTAAAAATGTGAAATCACCTAAATGTATAGATCGGGTTCACTGCAATCTGCAAGGAAGTAACTAATTGAGCGCTTACCAGGATAATAGCCATTCAGCCCGTGATTTATATTCTCACTCTGCTACAAGGGCAAACATAAGTATTTGCAGCCTGATTGGTGTTTAATGTCTTTTGACGACTTCAGACAGCGGTAAAGGCAACGATCATTGCACATCTCAATAATGGCAATCATAAAAGCCGGCACCAAAGGAAAGGTCACTGTTAATGGCTGGCAGGCAATATTTTGTGTCACTCAAAGTGCCCAGCTTTGATAGTAAATCTCTCTAATAAGAGGAGCCTCGCCAGCAATTTCTTTAACTTAATTACCAGGTTGTTCCAGAGGCATGTGGTTGATATCACTGTGTGACATTTGAGGCCAAACAAGACAGAGTTCCGAGTCTCTCTTTTACTTTGACTTTACATCACATCCACTCATTCGCCGCCTATTTTCCACGTCTCCTTAACCTGTCATTCTTATTCAGTTTCATTCCGTTTATTTATAAAAATGTAATCTCAGACGCTACCAGACCAACTGTCGAGAAACATAAACAGAACAAATCAATGAAGTTGTATAAGACGGATTCAAATGCAGTTCCATTTCAATTCTAGCTCTAATACAGTGGAGAAGAATGCAGTATATTGTTCCAGTTGGTGAAAAGTTATCTAATGGACCACAGCCAATTGCATCAACTCATTGATTTTGCAGCAATCCCTCATCTTGAGTGAGCATTTTGTGTATGTGACCAACTATAATTGACAACTACAGTTAAACCTTCATATCCTGTGGCCAAACAGATGGGTTATAACATTGTTTTTCTTTCAGATTGGTGCACTTACAGAGTCCATAGCACATGCTGTGACACTTCACTGAATCATAAAAAACAAAAAATCAATTTGCTTAAAGGGTCAGCTATAGATTTTAGAGAGGAAGCAGGAAAACAAAAGGGTGGTTAGATATCGTTTTTAAATTGTCAAATATTCTGAGAGAAGTCAGCACTCTTGTGTGGAGCTTTGCTGCCTGTGGGTCTTAGAACTGCATTAAAAATAGGGGAATCTAAACAGAAGGAAGATGACTTACAAAATCACATTTAACTTTAAAATTCAACTTTAAGGTTCAAGGATTTCTCAAAGATGCGAGACAAAATCAAAGCAACATTCCAGGTATGTTTTTGATGAGGGGAATAACGTTATAACGTGATATAAGGCTCAAGCAAGTCGATTTTATGTAATACCCCTATTTTAGTAAAAACTTGCTTTGTCAAAGACACTTAATTGTCAACATAATTCTCCTTTATTTATTTCTAGAACCTATTCTCAATCTGTGACTCTCAGTCAGGAATAAAAAAAAAAGATTTCTCACTTTGACATATTAAACTTTTCAGTTGTTACTGAATGTTCTTAAAGCCGGGTTTGAGATGGCTAAAAGCAGAAATGTAGGTTTGTAAAATACAAAGTGACTAATAGGATTAGCAGGATGTTTATTTCACCCACACAAAGTAGTACCTCATATCTATTCAGCTTAAGTTTTCATAATTCTTTATATGGCAGTCAGACTTTTGCACTTTTGTCATCTGTACTCTTTCTGCTTTGACTTGATCATTTTCCAGACGGACGAACTCTTGGGTTGAAAGAAGGAACACTTACTTTTTACACAGCTGCATGTGAGAACCATGTGTTTCTTTCTTTTGTTGCTTTCTCTATTTTCGCCTCACTACTCAAGCCTCTTGCCGTTCACAAAATCAGCAAATTTGTATGGAAGGGTTCCTATATTCTTTCAGTTCAGCCTGCGTAAGACTTTGTCCTGATTTTCTCATGAAAGACAGATGAAATAGGTGAATGGTGAACATTTTCGCAGGGCGAGTTCTGAACAACTTTGCTATCACCTAATTATCACACTTTTAGGAAAAAGTATCACTTCTCAGCAGCACTGGGCATCACAATGGTAAAGCTATTACAAACAGATGTGTGTGAATCTATTGCAAGCGATGGCTATGACATGTCAGACAGATGACGGCTCCAAAATGATTCTAATCGATTTTAACGAATCTCTCGGGTTTGTTTTAAAACCAACAAGACAGTAAACAGGTTCCCAATGAAAGATAGCAATGTTTTTTTTTTCATAACTGCCAGTGTTGGACATAATGGCTGTCTGTGACAGATTAAATAGGACGTAATGAGTCACAGAGCCTGAACTGCTTCCAAAGTGCCAATTTCATTTTCAGCCGGTATAACTGGCCACTGCCATTCATTTACTGACTGTATTTCATTATAAAACCAATTTTCCGTACTTTGAGAAAGTTTCAAGATCAGAATTTTATTCCACAAAATGAAGGCATTATTATGGTTAAACCTTATCTGAACTGTATGTAAAGAATAGATAATCTAATAATTTTCAACAAATGATAGGTGATAATACAGAGGAGCCTCTCAACATTTCCCCAGTTTCTTAATAAAATGAATATATAATAACCTTGAGCTTGCTAGAAAGGACAAGGTTAGACATTGTAAAATTACAATGGATATGAATCCTATATTAATTTTTGTCTATTAATAATATGCAGTAGAAAAATTATACAGCATAAAAGTTGCAATTTATTGTGGATTGTCTCTCATCAGCACAGAGCCAAAGTATAACTACAACCTTAAACATGATCAGAGATCCTCACTTATGTTTGGTTAAATGTTCTTTGGGAACTCGCACATTGACCACAGGATTTTCAAAACTGCAAAACCAACCTTCTGGTATAATTCCAGCTAAATGTTTATCAAAACTGTTTTTATCGGAAGTGGTAGGGCTCATCTTCTGGTTAGTTTCCTGCTAGGAATACAGCTTTTTACTATTATCCATAAAACGGTTGCAGTTAAGACCATTTCAGAAGTGTGTTTGGTCTTTGAACTGTTGGAATGCCCATCATGTCAGGCATCTGGCTCAAAATGCCCCCTACAGACCAAATATGGTTCAAACTGGTCTTAGACTGGAGACTGCTGGAGCTGCAGTGCCTCTGTCCACCACCAAGCAATTTGATATCAACATGGAGTGAAAAGTTATTGAAAGAAACTAAGAGGACAGAGTCTCTTGATCCAAAAAACCATGACGAAAACAATGTTTAGAGCAGTCAATACGTTTTTAAATTATATTAAAATAAATTATTAACTAAAAACCTGGGAGAAAGATTTCAAAATCTGAATTTGAGTGCTTAACTTTGATCTAAGAGGGGAGCATTTTGAAGTGGGGCATAGTGAAAGCCTCAGACCCATTTTTGCAATTAGTTGCCGTAACTAGTTTCATTAAAACCACGCTGATTGAAGCCTGCAACCTAACCAAATGCTCAGCCTATTTTATTTACAGCAAACTGACAGATGAAAACAAGCCTGATGTGCATTCTGTGGAGCTGTGACTCAAATATTTGATCAAATCTGTTGCAAGAAGCACAGCTTCTATTAAAGACATAGGAATCAAAATAAGTCTAAAATGTTTACTTGTCTTTGATTTCTTCTCCTGCAGCTTTAAAGCCTCTGCATCAATTTGAAGATTGATGCAGAAGTTCACTGTCTTGTTTTTATGAGCATCTGTATAAATGCTAGAGTTAAATATGCCCTTCTGGAGACTTGTTTACAACCATTGCATTCCCTAAAAACTACAGGTTTGTGAGTTATTTCCTTCTAATTTTTGTTGAGCTGAAAAATAAAAACGTACCTTCTTATTAATTTGAGAAATAATTACTTTGCACTTGCAAGTACTCAGAGCATCGGAATGAAATTCCCCGATATCAATGAAATGTGACATTATAGCAAAAGTATTTACCAGATCTTGATGCAGTTGAACACTATGAATCCCACATCATAAATCCCAAAACACAGACACTGTTCAAAGTTCATCAACAGTGGAAAAACTTCAGAGGGGACCAGAATTTATCCTCTACAAAATCCCTTCTATTTCCTCACATTTAGATTAGTTTTTTTTTTTTTTTTTTTGCTCAATTTTGCCTATACCCCCGCAAAAAAAAAAAGATTTTAGAAATTTTGTGGGGGGGG